ACTGACTAACCTATCCAGTATTTGAACTAGATCATAAACATATGCACATAGCAACCTTAATTCTTATATGGTACAAGACTGTCAATATATTATACAGCCTGGTCACATAGCCTGTTTTCTCATTAATTGCTGGCTTGTTGGAACAGAGCTGAGTTTTGTGGTAGATGGGAATATGTGAGTTGTGAAACCTAAACAATAAAACCCTTGTTTTAACCCAATTAAGAAAACCACTCCAGAAAGTCTCAGAGCTTTCTTCAAGAACTACTTAAGGTTCAGTCAATTTCAGTCATACTGTTTATGAAGTTGTCAAACTCCATTTAGAGAAAATGTCTGTGTCATATGCATTAGTAGTCATTTGAACAGCAATTTCTAGTAAGTCTCTCATGACTTAATTCACAATATGAGACTTTGAGACAGCAGCACGAGTGAATCTCCAGTTCCTCTGTATTCAGTGGCGATCTTGAGTTACTAGGGAAGAGATGCCCATGAGACAGTGATAGGGTTTGTGAGGGTAGGCATTCTGGAGATTGCTTGTCATTCTTCTCTGAAAAATTATCAAAATTCTCTCAAAGTGCATGGAGCTGTGTTATTCAGTGTTTGACAAATTACCCAATTAAATAAGGAATGCTTCAAAAATATACCTACAAATCATGAAAATGTTACTCCAGTAAGTCAATTAGGAATTAAAACACAGAGCGTACGTTAAGGCACCATTGACATTTTAGTGGAAGAACAACACTTTTTTTTAATTATTATTTTTATAAATATAATGCCTTCATTCTCATATGAATAGACTTCTGCATCTGCTTAATGGCATTCTTTGTTCACAGTCATTACAGAGAGAATCCGACTTCATAGAGATATCTCGTGGATAAGAGGAAACCAATTCAATGGTCTTTACAGATGATAGTGGTTATTGTTTTAAGTTACATGAAGCTTCATCTGGTGACTGTTTTAAAATGCTTAATCATTATAGAAACCGTGAAGCTACATCATTGATATTTTTATTCTAATACATTAATGACATAAGTGTGTTTTCTTCTTATAATAGGCCAAGTACCTGTGCAAATCCTTCCAGGGCTTTTAAATCTGCAAGGTGTCTGTTAGGCAGGCTTCAGATCCCTACTATGCAGAATTGTAAAATGTTGATACAATTATGTTTTAAAACATCAAAAACCATATTTTATCATATCAAAAACCACCTCCTTTTTAAATTCTCCAAGTATCGGGAGGCTGTCAGGCCCACAATGACAAATGCATTCTCTTCACTGTAGTCTGATTGGTATCAATGACAGCCTTGTTAGTTGTTTTCCTTCAAATCTGTAACAGAGTTTCACTTTGTTCATTTTTCAAGAAAAAGTCTGGCAAGTATCTGTTAAGAGTAGGTTTTTCCCTGCCAGCTGGGTCCCACCACCACACCAGCCCCAAATAATATAAGAGACTCTATATTTGATATAATGCTGTAGGCCAGTTACTAGTTTCTTATCGGCTAGCTCTGTCTTAATTATTAACCTATTTATATTAATCTAAGTACTGCCATGTGGTCTCATCTTACCAGAGAGAGGGGCTGGTGTTCTTCTCTCTCGTCCTCCATCTTGAATCTCCTCCCTACTACTTCCTCTCTCCTATTCTCCTAGTCCCACCTATCTTGCTTTCCAATTGGCCAACAGTGCTTTATTAATTAACCAATAAGAGAAACATACTTATAGAATGACATCTCCCATCAAGAATCTAAATCTGAATAATTACAATTTGTCTTTCAAGTGAAAAACCATGGTCCATGAGTAAAACACACACACACACACACACACACACACACACACACACACACCAGCTCACAGTATAAACCACTTTGAAATTAATTTTCTGAAAAAAAAAAACCATCACACCAGATAGTTTGAAGCAAAACTGCCTATTGATAGTTTGCAGTTTTCACTAAAGAATATCAAGACACTTCTACTGGGATTCACACATTTAAAATAGATAATTTTCTGTGCTTCATCAAGGACCTATAAGTAAATTCTTATCTTTAAAAGATTGTACCATGGAGGCTAGCTGCCATGGTCTGTGTCTTGGGTACTTGGCTGAGCACTAATTCTTTGAAACATGATGACTCTTGAGCAGTCGATACAAATAGACCTTTAGCACAAGCTGTGCAGTGTAAGTTTTAAAATTAAATGACAATTTCAGTATTGTTATTCAATGTGTATTTATTACCAACGTTCCAATAAAAGTTCACATTGGTTAATTCATTCATATTTAATACTGGTCCAATTCTGGTAAAAGTGAATAACCACATTTGTCCAGCTCTGGAGCACACAAGAGTACAGCCGTGATATGCACTCTGCCATCTTGTTTGATCTAAAGCTTTTAGTCCAGGAATTGTTGTAACTGCAATTGTGTGGACCATTCCCTCAATGGTCTCCATCCAGCATGGATTCAGTAAAGACAGGTTCTACGAGGTGTGTGTGTGTGTGTGTGTGTGTGTGTGTGTGTGTGTGTGTGACTCCGGGTGAAAAATAGCTTATCCTGTGAGATGCTTCAATTACTTCTCAATTTGTGGTTCCTTCAGTAATATTTTTCTTTTGAAGAGGTAATGATGTGTACATGTAAATCATGTAAATATCTAGCACTCTTTTCCAGAATTTTTAAATGCCTGACTCAGATTACTAGTTACCAAACTTGATAATAAAACTACCACACAGTATTTGAGTGTCTAAGTCCCTGTAAAATATGTTTCTGACATCTATAAGGCTGGTAAAATTTTTGTCATGACCACTTTTATGTAGTTCCCATCTCTTTCCATAAGTAAGAAATCTGTTCAAAAATTATTTCTTCATTGTTTTGCCCTTTTGAACAGACTTTATACATGTGGAAGAAAAAGTGAGTTTTTTATTTTAACTTTTCTAACAAAAATATCTGTTCCCCACCAGAGGATAGATGTAGTAGAAACAATTTCTTTGGTTTTTAAGGCAAACAATTAAAATTTCTAACAACTGGATTTAATGACACAAGAGTGTGGGAAGCGATCAAGAGCAGGGTCAGCTATGGGCTCTGTGGCCCCATGAGGGATGGATCTGTTGTGATCATAGGACAATGGGAAGTAACTCCCATGGCTTCATTTATATTTTTAAATTTAATCTAGATTGCTTTGTGGAGAACACGTTTTGGAGACATCAAGAGAGTAGAATGTTGGTTAATGTGTTCAGCTTTACTGTGCAGCTACATAATAACTTTTGTCTGCCCCAAATAACCTTGAGCAATCAGTCACTTATTACTCTTAAATCCAATTTAGGCTGCTTCAAATGTGCTTTTGATTGTTTTGTTTTGGATCATAGGAGGAATTTATAATTATAGTATTCCAAACAGAACTGCAACACAATTTTTTTCCAAAAGTATTTTGAGCCATCACTCCTATCACTGTTAATACAAAGACAAAAATAAATTTTCATTTCCCAGTTCTGGCATTAATATCAACCTGATGCGGCAAGACTTATAAAAATGATAGATGTTTCCCTTCAAACTGGAAGATATAACATTAACTTAATTTCCCTCAATATTATAGAGACAGCTGTGTGCGCATCTGAAACTTCCTAATCATAAAAGGCAGTAATGTGCATTTTTTAAGGGATATATTTAAGCAGAGGCCAAATAGCACAAATGGCATAAGAAAAATCTAGAGACTCAAAGTGGGCACTCTTAGTTTTAGATGTAAATATTTTTTTGGTGTTTCTTCTGAGGATTAAATCCATGGTTTTAACCCTGTCAAACAAATTTCTTTGAATGAGCTGTGCCCTACAATGATAAGCTTGATTTAGTTATAGTTATTAATTTTTTGAGATGAGGAATGACTATATAGCCCTAGAACTTGCACAGACCAAGACGTCCTTGAACTTAGAGGCATTTCCCACCCTCTGATGTAGAATGTTGTGGAAGACCACAGTCTATTTCAAAGCTTGACTTTCCCAGAAAATATGCATGACTCTATTCCATACCAGTGGACTGCTTAACGGTGAAAGCATTAGTAACTTTACATAAAATTTAGCTGTTTTATTACACACATCAGACATTTAACATATATTTATTGGAAGAATACTGAGATGCCCATTGATGCTTAAGGAAGAAAGAAAAACAAAACATTACTGATGAGTAATTTAATAAATGATACACACCACACACACATATACATACACACATATACGTCTTCTTTGTTTATTTTCCAATGAAATTAAATATAGATATTTTCTTTGTCCCATAAAACTAAAAGGATAATTTTCAAATATTTCTAGGAAAATGGTCTCTAGGTTAAAATATTTTGTTTTTGTTGATTCTATGTATATACATAAATTCTAGTAGTGTTTATAATAAACTGAGTGAAAATAGTTTATGCAGTTGGGAATACCATGGTTAATGCTACGTCTCTCACTGGCAAGAGAACCAGTTTACAACAATATTTAACTGCAAGAAAGCAAACAACGAAACTGAACACAAGCCTGCACATGCACATTTAGTATACTCACCTACTAGGGAACAGGATGAGGTGCACCTAGACATAGACGTTACATAAACTCACATGATCTTAATATGTATACCTAATTATGGATGTGCAGAATTAAGATTCAGAGACTCAGAACAGGTTATGTGAGGTTTATTCTTGAAGAAGTCACCTACACGAGAAGCCGATGACCCTCAAGTTCCCACTCCAATGATCCACACCCAGGCTGCTCTCAGTGACAGGAACCAAGAGAGAGGGAGAGAGAGAGAGACCCCAGACCTAGCCTTCCCCCACCTTTTGTAGAAAACCAGTAGTAATGTATGGCTATATTGGCATACACTTGAAATCCATAATTTGATACTGCCATGTACTTACTGTTTTATCGTCTAAATTCTCCGAATGTATAACCAAGCTACTTCCTGGATAATTTGACGGAATGTTACTCAATATAACAGCAAGGACTATATGCAGAATAAAACTAATTGTCTCTTTCTCAATTTTTAAGATCCTGACTTTAAGGACCTTGGAGTTTTGAAACCATTGCCAGGTTGGTAAAACAGAGATTTGCTAATGTCCAGAGGTCTTTGTTTTCTGTGATGAAGTATACTTTGGGTTTATTATTCAAGCTCCGTTTTTGTGTGTGTTTGGCATTTTATTGTTTAGCGTGTGAGTTTGAAATGGGCGGTCCTGAAGGAATCGTGGAGTCCATACAAATTCTGAAGGAAGGCAAAGCTTCTGCCAGTGAAGCCGTGGATTGCAAGTGGTACATCAGAGCCCCGCCACGATCCAAGGTCAGTCTCAAGGGTGAAACCCACGCACAGCTGTGGATGTGAGAAACATCTTGCTCCCACATTATCTGGTAGCGCTGGGGCATGTGCCAAGCATGCCATGGGTGAGCAGTATCCCGTGTTCTGAACTGAGACTTGTATCCGCCTGTTTAAGGTAACTTTCCAGCATGGGATCTGGTTAACAGATTGTACATGTGAGTGAATCAAGTCTACCTCTCCGGAACCTAGATCCCAGTGTCAGGCTGGAGTCCTTGTTAGGAAAGATGTAAACGAGAACCCTCACTGTCAGCAGTTTTAAATTAAAGGCATGTCTGCAGAAGTGAGCAGGGTCCATGAAATCATATATATCTAGCATGTGAAGTAAAGGAGCCTAGGAGAGCTCACTCACATGCCTCTGGATAGTTCTTTTTTTGTTTTTTGCTTTTTTTTTTTTTTTTTTTTTTTTTTTTTTTTTTTTTTTTTTTTTTTGTTTTTTCCTGTAATTGGTATGGCAAATTTGCAGGTTATATTACCAAGTCCTGTCTTTCAGTCACAAGCACTCCATACCTATTGTTGACCACCCCATTTTTTGAGTGCTAGAATTACACTATAATATTTTAAATCTTATATGCATCAGTGACTGTAACGTTGGTCAGATTCAGATGCAGGCAAACACTCTGAAAACATGTTTTAGGACAGTGAAGAGTGCATTCATCCTCACAGGTCTGCCTCAAAGGAACTGCCCTATCAGTACATAATACTTTCATTTTATTATTTTTTTATTCTCCTTCCCACATATACAGTAGAGCTATAATATGACTGATTTATACTATTTATTGAAGAAAATTAATTTCTTGTTTAATTAATTGGTTTAGTGACCCTGTAAAAGCCCAGAGCATTATTATCCATTACTGAAAGTACACTGGAGGGGAAGATGGATGGAAAGATGGATTTCATTTGTAGAATGATTATCTTGAAAATATGTGGACCTAGGTTTGATTCCTAGAGCCAACATAAAGAAAATTTGATGCAGTGGTGAGAACTCACATTTCCAGAGCTGGGGGATAAAAGACAGATTCCCGGGATTTAAGATACAGCTATCCTGGCCTACTTGGTGGGTTCCAGGCCAGTGAGAGACCTTGCCTCCAAAAATATTATGACTGAAGCATGATAAACAACTTCAAAAGCTGACCTCTAGACCTCTGGCTTCCATACAGCAATGCACATGTGTGTGGGTGCTCTGAGACACACATGCAACATTACACACATGCACACACACACACACACACACACACACACACACACACACACACACAGATAACACTCTAGACTCATCCTTCAGCTTTTCTTTATTTAGTACTTACACATATATGTAAAGAAACCATTCAAGCAATAGGATTGGACCCCTGAGCTACTAATAAGGAAAGTGTAAAAGGAAAGACTATGTAAGACTACTACACAGAGGTGGCCAAGGTCTCAGCAGAATGCCATGAGAAACAGCACCATGGAAAGTGGACAGGAGGGGAGGTGCTGAAGACATCAGGGGAGCGCACCTGAGACTTCACATGCAGAGAAGGCAGCAAAACTTTCAGAAGGTAAAGCAGTTGATTGAGATGTAATTAGGTGATGGGTGTGGAGGGAGGCAGGTCCATAAGCTCTGGAGCTCTGTGGGTCTTCCCAGAGAATGGGGACTATACCCCAAGCGCTTAGTGATATCATCAAAGGCAAGAATAAAGGGGATATGACTGGATTTGCATTTTTGAAATAGATCATTATGTGGGGGGAAAAAGTAAGTGGGTTAACAGGAACACATGCCTAAGTAGGGAGAAGACAATGAGTCTAGGACTGAACTGTGTTCTAGTGACCAGTTAAATATTAGGATAGATGGATACCAGAGAATTTTGGGGGTGAGATATTCGGGTTGAGGAAAAACATAGTCTTTTTGCCTTTGTTTTTTTTTTTTAATCTGGGGGGGAGTTGGCCCTTCAAAAAGTAGTTTGGCCTTTCTACACACACACACACACACACACACACACACACACACACACACACACACACACACATCTTGCCCTTTTCTTCAAACAGGTAGCCACAGAGCTTTAGAAATGATAAAAGAGTGGCCCTACTCACAGCTCCTATAGTTACATGTTTGTCTGTGTGGGAGCAAATCTTTATAAAGTTTATCACTTTATAACAATTTGGATACTGCTTTTTCTTTTTCTTCTATTTCTTTGTAAATTAAAATGAATTTGACACCTGATACTAACAGCATAAACCCCTGAGACTCCCGAGCCTCTGCTCAGTTGGGAGGTTAAGGTAAGATGGCTGCCATTTCAGTACAGGATTGGCTTAGATTACAGAGAGTGAGCTAGATTGCACAATTTAGGGAGACCCTATCTCAAAATGAAAAGTTAAAAAAAAAAAAAAAAAAAGACATGAATACAGCTTGGCGACAAAGCACTTGTCTAGCTTCGGTTCAAATCTCTATATTCAAAGCAATTTTTTTATATAACTACTTGGTATTTGTCATATAAAGTGATAAACACTCTCCTGATGACCAGAGAGCTAAATTTGTCTTATGTAGGATTTGCAGATCCTCAAGAAAGTGCTTGTTTTTTCTTCACCGTTATGAATGAAAATCTTTTATTAAAAGCCAACTTTTACAAACAGGAACTGTAAGCATGGCACCTTGCTGTCTTTAATGGCACCTTGTCACTTCAGTGTTACAGTGGAGTGTAAACACTCGCCTCCTTCTTCCAGCTGGCAAGTAATCTGTCTTTTGTGTAGCCTCAGAACAACAATGCCTGGTGCACCTGCCTGTCCCGGAATCTGGCAGTCTGTGACCCAAAGGAGACACTGCCTGTAGAGCTGAACCAGGAAGGTTCTACTGTGACAGTCTTTTTCTGTTCAATTAGAGGCTCAGAGGACACGGAGTGGCGTTGAATGCTGTGGAGGAAAACAAGAAACAAGGTTTACCGCAACCGTGGGTTCTATTTTTGTGGATAGCCTAGTGATTTATGAGACTAAAATATCAAAGCATAGGTCAAGCTTGAAATGGGTCACTGTGTGTCTCTGAATGATCTCTCCTGACCCCGCATAGCATGCAATGAACTGTTAGAAGAGTTTACTTGTTGCCATTCAAATTTATATGCACTGCATATTGCTTCTTAGAATTCAGCAGAAAGAATATTTGCCAATGTCTCCCTTATTAATGTTAAGAACCCCTTTCATTAGAAATGTGATCAACCAGCATTCCCAAGGAAAAAAACCAGATACCTTTGGAAGTTTATTCATGATGGGGTCATTTACAAATAGAATAAACAGTCAGGATAATGGAGGTCTTATTTTTTTTTTTTTTGAGTTAACCATGGGGGGGGGGTGGTAAAAAACAGCTTCCATGAACAGACTTTGTATCTATGAAGATTCTAGACCAATGCTATAGGAAAGGAATTAATGTGTCTAGTTATAGATTTTTATTCAGAGAAGTGTCACCTGTAGGGAGTAATAGAATACAAAACCATGGTAAGGAATTGAACTCCAGTTCCCTTCAGGGATGAACTTTAGGTATTTGTAGGCAACCACTTCAAATGGAATGGCAATACCTGCACAAAATGGGGCCACTCCCCATTCAACTCTGCCTGGGGGAGGGCTTCTTGAGTCCTGTAGGGATTGGAATAATAGAAGGTGTGGCCTTTTTGGAGGAAGTGTGTCACTGTAGAGGCGTACTTTGAGGTCTCATATACACTCAAGACCCGTCCAGTGAAACAGACCACTTCCTTTTGCCTGAAGTTCATGACATAAGAACTCTCAGTTCCTGTCCAGAACTATGTCTGCCTGCATAATGGCATGCTTCCCTGAATGATGATAAAGGACTAAACATCTGAACTGTGAGAAAACCACCCCAATGAAATGTTTTATAAGAGTTGCCTTGGTCATGGCATCTCTTCACAGCAATAGAAATCCTAAGAAATACAAGGCCCTACCCTTCCTAAGGAACTATTGGCAGTTAAAAGTTACCAGAAGAGGAGATGTCATTTTCTTCTATTGTTGCTATTGTTAAATTGACCACGCTGTTGTATGATGACTCATCACTTTTGTTCTTGCAATTAAATTCAACTAAATTCAGTGGCTAAGACAATGCATGAAAGGGAGAAGGGACTATTTGGACAAAGGGCAGTAAACATTGGAGGGGATAAGACAGGGTGATGAGAGAGGAATAAAACCATAATACATTATATATCTATAAATATTAAATATATGATAATTGAAATTATCAAAACAGTACTTAGAAAATTCATGTAAAATTTAAGATAAATTGTATCAAGAAATAAAAGAGCAACATAGCTATCTTCTTAATCTACGTTGTTTTAGGAACTGTATTTTATATTTGGAACTGGTGATAAACAGATTTGAATTCAATATATTAAAGGTTTGGTGTTAACAATCTCCAGGGGAGGAATGAAAGAAGAATTTGGTGGGGAATAATGCATAACAATTAAAATCAAGTAATTTTTGAATAATATTATATGAAAATCCTGTTAAAACTCAAGTCCCATAAATATATGTTCTGAGACCAGCTCAGACATTTAGCTCTCTAGTAGCAGGGCTGAAGCAAGGATAATATCTCAAAGCTCTGGCTCAGTCTGATGTCTCAGAACCACTATATTCAGTAAAATGATCAAGTTCATCCAAGTATCACAGGAGATAGGATCAAAAGTTTCACCAAGTGTGTTCCAAGGAGAGTGAGTAATAAATGTTTTAGGAGAACTAAAAACAAACAAACAAACAAATCTACCTTTTGTTATCTACATATAACTTTCTTATTTCAAATTAAATTTAAATTAGTTACTAAATTGAAACATTGCAAGTCTACTTATAGTCAATGTCATACGATGTAAAAAAAAAAAAAAAAAAAAAGTCTGTACTTCATAAAACACCAAACTGTTAACCCTGTTTATGTGATGATGTACGTGTGGTAGAAGCTTATGAAATGTCTGCAATTTCCCACCAAAGTCCCACATCTG